AAAAGAAAACCAATTTCCAGAAAGTAGTCAATCTTAGTTGGTAAGACACAACATATAATCATGAAACTTAAACAGCAAAGATAGTCTTCAAAGACTAAATGAGCAACAAACATTCTGACTTGAAGTAATGAGAAAAGTTTCATAGCAATGGGATTTTTTTTTTTTTTTTTTTTTGAGAGAGAGTCTTGCTTTGTTGCCCTGGCTAGAGTTCAATGGCATCATTATAACTCACTGCAGCCTTTAACTCCTGGCTCAAGTGATTCTCCTGCTGCACTCTAAGTAGCTGGGATTATAGACTGATGCTACCATCTGGACTGGAGTCTTGCTCTAGCTCAGGGTGGTCTCCAGCTCCTGCCTCAGCCTCCCAGTTTTAGGATTACAGGTGTGAGCCACCATGCCTGACCAGAGATGGGACTTTGAGCTAAGAAGTGAAAAATGACTAGGATTTGGAAAAATATGATAGAGAATTTCTGTTGTAGTTTATCCAGAGTTAAACTGAAAGGCTAGAATACAAAAAAGGAAGAGCTGGGTGGTGGGGTGCAGTGAAACTGAAGCTTTTTTTCACCATCTTGTAAAACTGTGATTAACCACAGCTCTTTGGTTCAACTGCTCTTTGTCCTTAATCTTAAGAATTTCTCCTTTGATTGGGCTAGAATAGATTACAGGAATATAAACAAGGGCCCTCTAATAGTTTCTGAATGATTAATATCCATGGAAATAACCTCAGAGACAAACAATTAGAATTTTCCAGCCCACATTCTAGTTTCTATAGCAGGAAACTGAAAAATTGGAATGGCATACACATTAAACCAAATGAATAAACTTTTTCTCAGCCTAATGTAAGTTGGTATGTTAATAACTATAGAAAGTCTACAGCAACAGAATGTGTTTTATGGTAAGGATTTGGCAAATTCCCGAAAACTCTAGGCATGTTTAGGTTCTACTATTCATTTGTTCTGAGTACATTTTCACTTCATCTTATGAAATAAGCAGCTTATCTCATTCCCTAAAACTTTCAGGGCTGTAGTGTCTTCCTCTTCACAGTCTTTGACTTTCCAAAGGCATTATCCATCTGCTCAAACAGATAATGAAGTCTTGACATTATGAAATAAAACTTTTAACAAAACGCATTATGTTTGCACATTTGGGACCTTTTGTATGGCAGTGTTTTTCCTCAGAAGAGTTCACAGAAATTCTTTAAGGTTGAGTGGTTTCATCTATTAATATTTTCCACACAGACAAAGATAGCCTCTAAGCGAGATACAGTGCGCGCTGTAATATTTAACCACCAGGTCATCGTCACTCAGTCACTAAGACATACATAACTAGGGCATCACGGGGTTCATTTTCACCAGAGGTATCTAGTAACAAATCCCAGGTTCAATGCCCCCACGTGGCCCACATCTGACGTGCCCTACTTTCAGGGCTGAGGACACTGGCCGAACGAGCCTGGGCAGTGTGGTCCCACGGAATATTCTCACATGGCCTTAGCTGCCCAGGCGGTGGGTGGCCTCGAACTCCAGCCTGCTGCCTGACAGCAACGATTCTGCCAAGACCTTACGCCGCGCAGCTCGGGGCAGCCCATGCGTCCCACCCCATTCAGCCCTGGCCGCTGTCCCAACTCCCGCGGTTCAGCGAGGAGGCGGGGGTGAGCCAGCCGATGCCACAGACCCCAGCTGCAAGCCAAAGGAACCTGTCTTCTTCTCGGGTCCGGGACAGACTCAACAAACACGTCCACTAGGACGCACCTAAGGTCCGAGCCTTCTGACGTCCTGACCGTCGCTCCCCAGGCACATGCCTGTCAAAAGGCGGCTCTTCTGCCCTCTCGCGAGAGAGCGCCTGCCTGTGGCACCTCCTTCCTCTCAGCTGTCTTTCTCTCCCCGCCCCCAGGGCGATTGCGCGGCTTCCTCCGGAGGGCGGGAACCTTGGACGTGGCGGGGCTGAGCCAGCCTGAATGCTGGGCTGGGGTGGGGGCGGGGGGTCCTCTCAGCTGCCTGGCGGGCTGGCTCTCCACACGCCGCTGCCAAGCCCCGGCCGCCCCGCGCCTTCGCAGGTAGACTGGCGCCCGCAGGAGTGACGCCGAAGGTGGGGTTGCGGGCCGGCCGGAGGGACTGCGGGGCGGCGCGGGTGGGCGCCACACCTGTGCGGGGCGTGGGCGAGAAGGTGCGCAGGCGCGCTGCCCCGCGGGCGGGCGGGGGCTCCCGGGCTCTGCGCGGCGGACCCGGCAGGCCGTGAGCGCTCGCTGGTGGTGGCGTAATCTCCCAGCCTTTCTTCGTCTCTAGTTCTCCGCCTCAGATTGGGGCGGGTCAGGAGAATGGCTTCGGAGATGGAGTCGTCGCTCGAGGCAAGCTTCTCCTCCAGCGGTGCGGTATCAGGGACGTCTGGGGCTCTGCCTCCGGCCCGCTCCCGCATCTTCAAGATAATCGTGATCGGCGACTCCAATGTGGGCAAGACGTGCCTCACCTACCGCTTCTGCGCTGGCCGCTTCCCCGACCGCACCGAGGCCACTATTGGGGTGGATTTCCGAGAACGAGCAGTGGAGATCGATGGGGAGCGCATCAAGGTGAGCGGATGGGGGACTGTCAGTGAGGAAGGACTCCCGGAATGACAAATGTCTCAACCCAGTGTGGGCTAATCGCTGGGCAGAGTGTGCGCTCCAGTTTCCCCCATGCTGGTGTGGAGATTGGAGTTGGGAATTGAAAGGATTTGTATGTAGCAAACTTCTAAGGCACTGCTTCTCAAACTTTAATGTACATGCTGTTTACCTGAAAATCGTGTTTTAAAAAATGCAGATTATGATTTGGTAAGCTCCCAGAGGATGCAGATGCTGCTAGCCCGTGCACTTTGAGTAGCAGGAGTGCAGTCCACTGAGTCATTGGCTGTGTCTCATGCCCTGGGAGTCAGTGAAATGTGACTGAAGGAAAAACAGTGGGACTTATCAAGCATGGAAAATTCATTTAATCGATATTATTTAGTAAACATTCACTGGAGCACCACCCTAGGTATTGTGGAAGTAAAGCCCAGTGCCTTTGAGGAAGTACTTAGATATTCTCTTGTACAGTTTTGCTATAGTGTTTTCTGTATGATATTGATACAGTTTGAAAAATCTTATTTTCCTGCAGGAGAGTCTATATTTTAGATAGTCGTTATAACGTGCCAAAGGCACATCTTTTGATGACACCTCAGACCCTCTTCCAGTTCTCCTTCCCTTTATTGGTGACTCTTGAGACTTTGAGACACTGAACAGTAGTGGAGAAGATAATAGCTAGGCTCAAGGCCAGCCCTGGGGCTCTAAGGGGCTCAAACAGGGACAATGGAGAATGAAGATCAGTGATAAGGCTGAGGCCTCCTGATGGTCTAAGCCTTAGACCACTTCTTAATTGCAAGCCACCATTAAATAATGCCACCAGCTGATACCACCCTATAAAACATGTGGACCCTAGGAACTGCCCTACCTTCCTTATACTGCTGCTTCTACTTTAAATTAGTATTCCTCTTTACCTCAGTCCCCTAGTGGGGTACAGGGTGGAGGAACAGCCTTGCTGAGATCATTCCTACCCCTGTATCTTTGAGGAGGAACAGATTTATCTTTCAGTTCCTTAATCATTGCTTCCCACACCAAACAGTTTTATTGCTAAGGATGGTAAAGGAGATATAAGATAGGTTAAAAGAAAACCCTTCTATAGGCATATTTGCCTTTTAATACTTCAGTTTACTATTTCACTGTCCCATTCAGGCTGCCAGTGGTGGTCCTTTGGGTGCCCTGTATTAGAGAGTTAATTTTCATACATTGGTGAATAAAAGGAGACTGAACATTTTTTCCAGAATTAGATTAGGCCCAGAAACCTGTGGATGGGGGAAATAATGGGGCTTCTGAAGTTTGAGAGGGAGTTTAGTTTGGGAGAAGTAGTTCTGGAAGAAAGTGCATGGGTTTTGGAGCCCAACTAATCTAAGTTCAAATCTGAACCTATGAAAGAATAAGGACAGATTGTCCTTAGTAGGGTGACACCAACTTCGCTTGGGACTGTCTAGGTAAAATAGGAAATCTCACATCCCAGGATTTCCCTCCATCTTGGGCAAACTGAGATAGTTGGTCACTCTGGTCCTGAGGCAGATTCTTTAACCTCTCAGTGTTTTCTCTTCTGAAAATTGGGGTCATAATACCTTGTTAGGCTGACGTGAGGATTAGATGAAAAAGTATATAAAACACCTGCTTCATAATTGGTACCCTCACAAAGATTCTTTATCTTTACTGGCAGTTTAACATTATTTTTCTCCTTGGCACTATTAGTTCTGCAGTTGTACACCCAAAGAAGAAAGCGGAGATCAAGGAGGGTATAGGTAGAGAACTGAAAGGGAAACAAAATACAGTAAATAAGTAAAGAAAGAAGGAAGCAGGAAATTTTTAAAGAGTAGAGAGAATGGGGGTGGGGAGGGGTTGGGATTGGAGGATCCTTTATCTGTTCCTGGGTTGCTATTTATACTTAAAAATCACAGATGAGTCAGGTGCAAATTTAAGAGAATATTAATATTGAAATGATGCAGAGCATGAGCATTGTATAGAGCTGATTTTTTTTTAGAGACAGAGTCTCATTCTGTCATCCTCAGTAGAGTGCTGTGGCATCACAGCTCACACCAACCTCCAGCTCTTGGGCTTAGGCGATTCTCTTGCCTCAGCCCCCGGAGCAGCTAGGACTACAGGTGCCTGCTACAACGCCGGCTATTTTTTGTTGCAGTTTGGCTGGGGCTGGGTTCAAACCTACCACCCTCGGTATATGGGTCCGGCACCCTACTCATTGAGCCACAGGCACTGCCCTGAGAGATGTTTTGTTTAACACAAATAATTACGACACAGTGCAAGGGTCAGCAAACTGTGCTCATCAGCCTCCCATGTAGCTGCCACAATGCCTGGCTATTTTTTTGTTATAGTTGTTATTGTTGTTTGGCAGGCCCCAGCCGGGTTTGAACCCACCAGTCCTGGTGTATGTGGCTGGTGTCCTGGCCACTGAGCTACAGGCACTGAGCCTGACATGTGTTAATGGTTAGTGAAAAAAATCTTAAGATTTCATGGTGCATGAAAATCATATGAAATTCAAAATTTACATAGGCTGTACTGGGGTTATCCTTGTGGTGTCACCCCTCTACCTGCATAATCTACTCTTCAAAATTCTAGGGCAAGTTTGTTTTTCTTAACCTTTCTTTGAATTGTTAAAGAAATTGTTGCTCAACTCATCAACCCCCAGTCCTCAATCTATTTTATACATTGTTGTCAAGATGCTGGATTAGTGTTGTACCTCAAGAGAGATTTATCTCCCTACCTCACATGCCCTGGATGGTTCTCCATTACAAAGTTCTAATTTTTTGAAACTAACATATGCCTGCCTTTTTCTTACACCAGACTGATTTTCTTACTTTGCCATTAATTTCCTTCAAGTATCCCGTAGTCCCACCAATTATTTGCTGATCCTTAGGCTTTCCCTTCACTCCTCACTTTTTACATACTCTTTAGTTGGAATATCCCCCTTTCTCATATTTTGCGCTGTGTGATTCTTCCTTATTTAACTTAGTGGATCTCTATCAAGAATGTCCCCTCTCTGCTCGCTTTGGCAGCACATGTACTAAAATTGGAACCATACAGAGAAGATTAGCATGGCCCCTGTGTAAAGACGACAGGCAGGTTGGTAAAGTGTTCCATATTTTTTTTGGTAGCCGAGATGGGTGGACTGTCTGAGTTTAGGAGTTCAAGACCAGCCTGAGCAAAAGTGAGGACCCCCCCATCTCTACCAAAACTAGAAAAGCTAGCCAGGTTGTGACAAATGCCTGCAGTCTTAGCTATTTGGGAGGCTGCGGCAAGGGGATTACTTGAGCCCAAGAGTTTGAGGTTGTTGTGAGCTATGACACCACGGTACCCTACCCAGTGCACAGGCGAGACTCTGTATCACCAAAAAAAAAAGGAGAGAAAAAAGAATCTCCCTCTCCCCCTTCTCCACTCTACTTTCTTTTATGAACCCTGGTTAACACCTTAGCTGAACCTTTAAATTAGCGGCTCTCAACCTGTGGGTCACGACCCCTTTGCAACAGTGAAAATACATCACAGCATTAGGAAGGTTGAGAACCACTGCTTTAAATGATCTCTACCTGAATGTGTCTTACCTCCTTGATTAGATCTTATTCAGTCTTATTCAGGGCAGGGTCCAAGTCTGGTAATTCCATAGATGTCTTCCTGTGTCTAGCTCAGTTCCTAAACTATGTTGTAGATACTAAGGGGATAAGTGTTGAATGTATGTTAGGCTGCTCTGGAAATGCAGCAGTGAAGTGAGGAGGGACGCTAAGAAAAGGAAAGAAAGAGTGGCTTGGCGCCTGTAGCACAGTGGTTATGGCACCAGCCACATACACCTAGGGTGGCAGGTTCGAACTGAGCCCTGGGCCAGCTAAACAACAATGAAAACTATAATAAAAAATAGCTGGGCGCAGTGGCAGGCACCTGAAGACCCCGCTAATTGGGAGACTGAGGCAAGAGAATCGCTTAAGCCTAAGAGTTTGAGGTTGCTATGAACTGTGAAGCCACGGCACTCTACCAAGGGTGACACAGTGAGACTCTGTCTCAACAAAAAAGAAAAAAAAAGAGGTAATGAAGGGGGTATTTTGAAGATAAAGCTAACAGTTTCTGTGATTGGGTTTTGGTGATGAGAAGAAAGAAGACTTATAGATGACTGAGGTTGTGAGTCTGGGTGACAAGAGGGAGGTAGTGGGGATAAGGGGATCTGTATGGAATATTGAATTTTGAAGGGCTCTACAATGTGTTTTTCATTAGTTATGTGTTTATTGAGATAGTGTAATATTCGAATGACAATCAATATTCTGATTGGTAGGTAGAAATTTGTGATTGGAACACAGAAGAAATAACAATGAATATGAAAGTGAAGTTTGGAAGCATGGATAAATAAGAACAAAATGCTCAATGTAGCTAATATTCCTAGAGAAAGGTTTGTTTCACAGCATGGTAATGGTGACATATGTGAATGCTGCATACATATCAAATGTACACTGGAATACTTACTAAATCCATTGTTCCATTTTAATCTTCATTAAAAGTAAATTAATGTTTGTACATCAAAGAATATTTTGTGGGGTTTTTTTGTTGTTTTTTTCCTTAATTTCAGATTAATGTGAGGGTATAAATGTTTAGGTTACATTGTTTTTGTTTCTAAGGTAAAGTTCAAGTTATAGTCGAGCCCTTCACCCAGAGGGCAAGCTGAACACCCTTCTTACATTGCGTACACTAGGTGAAATCCTGCCAGTCACCCTCCCTCTTGCCCTTTGATCACTTTCATCAGTTTACTTGTCCTCTTCCTCCCACACACTAGATTATACGTGTGTTTTTCTTCCATGAGGGAATGTAGTTGTTTATATATTGGTTTCATATTAGTATTGAGTACATTAGATACTTGTCTTTCCACTCTTAAGATACTTTACTAAGAAGAATGTGTTTCAGCTCAATCCAGATAAACACAAAAGATGTAAAGTCTTCATCTTTTTAATGGCTGAATAGTACTCTATAGTATACATATACCACAGTTTGTTAATCCATTCATGGGTTGATAGGCACTTGGGTTGCTTCCATGTCTTGGCTATTGTGAATTAACCTGCAATAAACATTCTAGTACAAAAGAATTAAATTGGTATTTTATCTCTTAAAGTATAGTATAGGTGGTTAGAGATGGTCCTTTTAATTTAATTTTCATTGGAATTCAGTGAATGAGATATTAGCAGTCTGAGTGCTCTAAGAAAAATATTCTAGAATCTTAACTTGTAACCTTTTACTTAGCTCAGAAACCATTGGTTCTGGCCTGATGGATTCTGAATTACTGGAGTTTGATCCTGGGGCCTAAATGGTATAAGCCAGATACATTTTCTGGTTGTCAGAGCTCCTGTTGTTCTTCCAGCCTGATTTCAGAAAACTGATTCTTATGGAGCACTTTTTATGAAGATAGCAACATTGGTGTGTGCATTCAGAGGCAGTGAGAAGAGATAGAATTCTTTACTTCCCTGGAATCTTTAATCAGCGGTCAGGATCTCTTATTATGGAATTTAGTACTCTACACAAGTTAGTTTAAACATAATGGGAATTTAGTGTTTCACAAAATTGAAAGCTAGAAGTAAGTTTCTCGCCAGTTCCAACAACAAGCCTATAATGCCCATTCCTAAAGCGTGGTAGTGATGGGGCAGGTGCTCCATCTGATTAGTCAGGCCTAGGTCACATGCCCCCTACCAGCCTGGGAGCCAGGGATTCACATGATTTGAAAACAAGGAATGAGTGGTTTCCCCAAGGAGAATGGGGTGCTGTTAACAGTAGTGGGAATTAGGTTGGAGAAAACAATGTGTTCTTTACAAAGGCAGTAAAGGCAGCCAAGTTTAAATTCTGGCCTTAAGATTTCCTACTTTTGTGTCCTGGGGAGAGTTACTTAACCTTATAATAGAAACTCTTAGGTAGTTAATCTTACATAGCTGGTCTTTTAGGTGTGTTGCTTAGAGCATGAAGAATAAAACTGTGTTCCTTGAGGGAACAGGGGAAAAGAAATTTGATAGATAATCAGGGAAGGAAAGATAATTTGACTTAATACTGTTAACATTTTAAGTCAAGCAAAAGGAGTGTTAAATCAATTTAAAAGTCAAATCATTTCTCATTTTGGGTAATAAAACTACTAAAAGAACTTCCATGAACAAGAATTTACTGTTAGGATTCTATTAGGGTTTAGCAGTAGTTAGGCTGCCATTTTTTTGTTGGAACTTGACATTGGAATTTAAAGTAGAGATTCATAAAGTAGTATTGTAAAGGAAGTGTATTTTATGTTGTCTTCATAATGTTTAAGATGGGAGTAATATATATGGGAGCACATATTGGCCATCTTTTTAAGATATTTAAGTAAAATATTCTCTGCAAATATTTCCTAATTTAATGTTTACCAGAAAAAAACACATCGCTTCCTTAGGTTCTGAAGTGTCATTCTTTCTTCTTTTCTAAACATCGTGAAACACCACTTAGAGCTTTCAAGGCAATTGTAAGATTTGTTCTCCACACACTGTCTGTCTTTCTGAGTGTTTCTTTCTCTTGAAGTTTCTCACCTTTTATGGTCAACAGTTTTCATTAGTTTACTTGTCCTTTCCTGGCTGAGTCTGTCACCACTCCTCCTGGCCCAGTGCTCTCCTTCCCTCAGTGTGCAGGCCCAGGAGGCAGCAGGCAGCAGTAGTCCTCAGCCTTCATGTGATGTAGTTATATCCTGTGAGTGAAATTTTGAAACTACTTTTAAAATATGCCTTTGTTCGTCGCCTATAGTACAGTGGTTATGGTGCCGATCACATGCACCAAGGCTGGCGGGTTGGAACCCGGCCTGCTAAACGACAACTGCAACAACAAAAATAGCCAGGTGTTGTGGCTGGTGCCTGTAGTCCCAGTTACTTGGGAGGCTGGGGCAAGAGATTCACTTAAGCCCAAGAGTTTGAGGTTGCTATGAGCTGGATGCCACAGTACTCTACCAAGGGTGATATACTGAGACTCTGTCTCACACACACACACACACAAAAAAGCCTTTGTAAATGCCTCGTTAACTTACTAATTACTTTTATGGCTCTCTCTGATAAAGTATGAAGAGTTATTTTATACCTCATGCTTTCTTTCTGGAAGTTTTGATATGATTAGAGTTTTGAACAGGATTGAAGGAAAGAGGAATATTGTTTAGCCAGCCCCACACAAAACTCAAAGATTTTCTTAGGGTTAAAACTCCTTATCATTACTGTTTCCTTTTTTTTTTTTTTCTTTTTGTTTTTTATTTTGAGACTGTCTCACTGGGTCACCCTGGGTAGAGTGCCCTGGCATTACTGTAGCTCATAGCAACTTCAAACTCTTAGGCTCGAGCAATCCTCTTGCCTCAGCCTCCTGAGTACCTGCGACTGCAGGTGCCCACCAAATCTCCTGGCTAGTTTTTCTATTTTTAGTAGAGACAGGGTATTGCTCTTGCTGAGGCTGGTCTCAAACTCCTGAGCTTGAGTAATCCACCTGCCTTGGCCCCTGAGAGTGCTAGGATTATAGGTATGAGTCACTGTGCCCAGCTACTGCTTGTGTTTGTTGAAGACTTCCATAATTCTTTGAGGCAGGCCAAAATTATGTGTAATTATTATTTTCTTTTTTGAAGTTTTTTTTTTTTCTTTAGAGGCAGAGTCTCACTTTGTTGCCCTTGATAGAGTGCTGTGGCATCACAGCTCACAGCAACCTCCAGCTCCTGGGCTTAGGTGATTTTCTTGCCTCAGCCTCCCGAGTAGCTGGGACTACAGGCGCCCACCACAATGCTCGGCTATTTTTTTGTTGCAGTTTGGCCGGTGCCGGATTTGAACCTGCCAGCCTCAGTATATGGGGCCAGCAGCCTACCTGCTGACCCACAGGTGCTGCCCAGGAGTTTGTTTTTATGAAAGAAATGTACGTTTGTTATGGAAAACAGAAAACTGGAAATAAAGCAGGAAATAGCCTTAAAGAAAACCATTAATATTTTGTTTATATTTCCCTTTGGTATTCTTTTATTTATTTAACTTGTGAAGATACTTTATACTTTTTACATTATAAATCATTCTTCATCAATGAGGTTTTATTAGAATATCTGAACTGTAGGAAATGTTTTTAAAAGAAAAAAATGAGCTCTCATTTCT